GAGAATTGCTTTCACCAGGCATGGTGGTACATGCCTTTAAATTTATGCAGAGAAAACATTGTTAAAACTACATCCAGAGCTGGGCGTTGGTGGCGAATACCTTTAATCCCAGCACTCGGGAGACATAGGCAGGCAGATCTCTGTGAGTTCGAGGCCAGCCTAGTCTACAGAGCAAGTTCCAAGACAGCCCCCAAAGCAATACAGAGAACCCCTGTCTTGAAAAACAAAAGAAAACCAAAAAACTACAGCCTCCATCCCAGTGACTCCTTTCTTGAGTGCATCTGTGTATTTATATATAGCCTTTGCACTCCTAGGTGCATAGTGCATTTCTAACCAGGGAAAAGTCTTTACTGTGACAGGAATCAGTTCCTTAAATCCCACTTCATAATCTGTTTGCCAGGAATGTTTCATTTTTATGCCAGGAATTGTTCTTTCCTGTGTAGTTAATGAATTGTGAGAGTCTTTTCTTGTTTCTTCCTGGTATAATTTTGGCACTTAAATTCACATAGATTATCTTGAAATATAATATTAGGCATAAGTCAAGTGGTGGGGGTTTTTGGAATTTGTTTACATTTATTTATTTCATGTGTGTGCGTGCATGTGCCTGCCACAGTATGTGGTTTGGATATTGAACTCAGATTGGCCGGATTGGCAACAGGTGTCTTTACCCACAAAGCCATTTCCTTTTTTTTCTTTTTTTGGTTTTTTGAGACAGGGTTTCTCTGTAGGTTTGGAGACTGACCTGGAACTCTGTTTGAAGATGAGGCTGGCCTGGAACTCACAGAGATCTGCCTGCCTCTGTCTCCTGAGTGCTGGGATTAAAGATGTGTGCCACCAACGCCCAGCGCCATTTCACTTTCTTGTTCAATTTCCTAATTGAAATTCCCCAACATCCTCTGAGAAGCTCAGTTTTCTTTTGAAAAATTTTTAAAGTTTTTATTATTTTTTTATTTTGCTTATGTCTTTAAATGCACTCGTGGCACTGTGGAGGTCAGAGGACATTTATGGGAATGGATTGCCTCTTTGTATCACATGGGTCCTAATGGCTTCATTGAAAATCCCTTTACATGTTGAAGGTCCTTCTCACCTGTTCTGATTCTCTGTTTTGTTTTGTTTTTAAATAAGCTTTTCATTGACATGTTTTATGTTCTTTTATTCCTTGGTCTTTATCTTCTCCCTTCCTTTTTCTTCCCTCATTATAGGTCATTGTTGTCTGGGTAGGAACAAACAACCATGAAAACACAGCAGAAGAAGTAGCAGGTGGAATCGAGGCTATTGTACAACTTATAAATACAAGGCAGCCACAGGCCAAAATCATTGTGCTGGTAAGTGGTCTTTCTGGGTGGAGATTTTCTTATATCTTTTGATCCACCGAGAAATGGTCATTAAAATGGTATCTCTCATCAATACAGAGTCTTTTAAGTGGAAGCAGTTTCTGATATTTGTTTGTAAGGGCAGGATGGTTAGGAGGAAAGGTCATGGAAGGATGTATTTGCTATTACTATTAGTTTGGGTTTTATCTTGTAGGTGCTGTGAGTTCGAGACTAGCCTGGTCTACAAGTGCTAGTTCCAGAATAGGGTCCAAAGCTACACAAGAAATCCCTGTCTCAAAAAGCTAAAATAATAATAATTTATTTGTATTTTATGTATATCAGTGTTTTGCCTGCATGTATGTCTGTGTGAGGATGTCGGATCCCCTGGAATAGGAGTTATAGACAATTTTGAGCTTCCATGTGGATGCTGGGAATTGAACAGTCAGTGTTCTTAACCACTGAACCATCTCTCCAGCCCCTTAACTTCTACTCTTTAGGCCCCAACAATGAGGATTACAGGCATGTGCCATCATTCCAAGTTTCAGTTTGCACTTAACAATAACAAGCTCAGCTTTAGGACTGACTTCATCATTTGAAATGTCTTAGCATAGCAAGTATAGAGGGGGATATAACAAATTGAGAATTCTCTATGGCTTTTGGGAAACTAAAATCATAAGTAAATTGGCAACTAAAGCCCCAAGGTATTACTGAAAGAACTAGAGTAAAAATGTATATGAGTATGCTTTGAATATATTTTTTTAAAGATATTATTTATTTATTATGTATATAACATTCTGCTTCCATGTATATCTGCACACCAGAAGAGGGCACCAGATCTCATCACAGATGGTTGTGAGCCACCATGTGGTTGCTGGGAATTGAACTCAGGACCTCTGAAAGAGCAGCCCCTGCTCTTAACCTCTGAGCCATGTCTCCAGCACCATGTTTGTTTTTTTGTAAGGTAAAAGTCATCGTAAGGCTGGACAGTGATGACACACACCTTTAGTCCTAGCACTAGGGAGGCAGAAGCAGGTGCATCTCTGAAATTGATGCCAGCCTGGTCTACAGAGCTGGACAGTTTCAGGACAACCAGGGCTACACAGAGAAACCCTGTATTGAAAAAAACCAAAACCAAGCAAGCAAGCAAACAACTCACAGTAAGGACTGGCACTGTAGCTCATGGTGGTGCTCATGAGAATCTAGGTTCAATCCCCAATACTACCAGTAAATAAAAATAAAGGACCCTCAGTAAATCTGTTCTTTTCTGGTGTTTTAAATTTGTTTTGCTTTGTTTTTTGGTTTTTGTTTTGTTTTTTGAGACAGGGTTTCTCTGTAACAGCACATAGCCCTCTGTAGACCAGGCTGGCCTCAAACTCAGAGATCCGCCTGCTTCTGGCTCCTGAATGCTGGGACTAAAGGCATGTGCCACCACTGCCTGACTAGTCTTTTCTTGAAATAAAACATACATACCCTGTAGAAGAAATTAGGGACAAAATTTTTACCTGAATAGCAGTTATGTTGCCTTGTGTGCCATCACTAGTATCAGCTAGCTTCAAGGATAGCAGTGTCTGGCAGTACTTCTGTAATGGACCCAGTTATCTGTTGTTGACTTCTTCTAGTTTTCATTGATAAAATTTTGCTCTTGACATGTAATAGTTCTCTTTATTATAGTAGGAAGACAGATACTGATTTATCTGAAAATTGTATTAGATCATTAGTATGCAAATTAAAATTAATTTAGGATACATTTATCTTACCAGGTATTTAATTCATGTGTTTAATTAAGACAGCTTTGATTCCAATTCTCTTTCTTATAATATAGTGTAGCTTTCTCTGACATTAGTAGGTGTGTCTAAGCTACATTCTCCTGACAAGGTATATGGAGAAAGAATTGAAAGGAGGACACATGGCTTTGGGAGAACCAGTGGGAGATATTTTAGTAATTGGGATGAATAGCATTAGTTCCTAAGCAATAGTAATGCATATTATCATGGTGAAGAAAAAGAAGATGGAGGCTGTGGGTGTGCTCAATAGATACAGTGCTTGCTGGGCATGCAGTGAAGCCCTAGCTGGGTTCCACTCCTGGTACCACGTAAACCAGATGTGATGGTATATGCCTGTAATCCTTAGCCATGTAGTGAGTTTGAGGCCAGCCTGGAATTCATGAGATCCTGTCTCAGAAAACAAAGATTGATTAGACAAATATTTAGAATGTAAACATTTAGTGATTCCATGATAAATAAGGAATATGAGATGAGAGGCTTGGGATGTTGGGATGACAGTTGATACAATGGACAAGGAGCAGAGTTTACAGAGAAGATGATGAATTGCTCTTGGACATGAAGCTCTAAAAAAGATCATGGCTAAAGTGTTCAGAGGGGTGGACTGGAGAGATGGCTTAGTGGTTAAGAGCACTTGCTGTACCCAGGTTGACTACTGGTACCCATGTGATGACTCCCAACTATCTGTAACTCCAGTTCCAGGGCATCTGACACCCTTTTCTGTCCTATGTGGGTTCTAGGTACAGATGTGGTACATATATAGAGGGGAAACATTCATACACACAAAAAAATTTTAAAATGTTCAGGATTCAGCACTTGGGAGGCAGAGTCAGGCAGATCTCTGTGAGTTCAATACCAGCCTGGTCTACAAGAGCTAATTCCAGGACAGTCTCCAAAGCCACAGAGAAACCCTGTCTCGGGGAAAAAAAAAAAAAAAAAAAATGTTCAGGATGGAGAATAATGGGTCCTGAGGAGTATCAGAGTCAGCAACAGGATGAGGAAAACACTCACAAAGCAAAAAGAACAGACAGGTCAGCTTTAAATAAAACTACCAAAGTCAGGGCTGGAGAGGTGGCTCAGTGGCTAAGAGCACTGGTTGCTCTTCCAGAGGACCCAGTTTCAATCACCAGGAAACACATGGCAGCCCACATGTCTGTAACTGTAGTTCAGGGTGTTGACATCCTCACATAGACATACATGCAGACAAAACACTACTGGACATAAAATAAAAATAAATTATGTTTAAAAAGAAAAAACAAACTGCCATAGGTGGGCATTTTAGAAGTCGGAGTGTGAGTGTCAGGTGGAACAGATGTTCCATGAATACGGAAGTTGTAAGGAAATAAGGAAAAACAACCCTCTCTGTTAATACTCTTGTGTGCTCTGCCACAGGGTCTGTTACCTCGAGGTGAGAAGCCCAACCCTTTAAGACAAAAGAATGCCAAGGTGAACCAGCTTCTCAAAGTTTCCCTGCCGAAGCTTGCCAATGTGCAGCTCCTGGATACAGATGGTGGCTTCGTGCACTCGGACGGTGCCATCTCCTGCCACGACATGTTTGATTTTCTTCATCTCACAGGAGGGGGCTATGCAAAGATCTGCAAACCCCTCCATGAACTGATCATGCAGTTGCTGGAAGAAACACCAGAGGAGAAGCAAACCACCATTGCTTGACTGGCCCCATCAGTGTTAAAAGCATCCCAGCTTCCTCAGATCAGTTACACCACTGGCACTACAGAATCCTTTCTTAAGGCACTTTGTACAATGTTCCTGGATGCTTGTATCTAATGTTTGACGGGGAGGAGGGATTTAAATTGGTCCTGTATATAAAGGTTTGTTTGGCACAGGAGAAAAATTAGCCAAGGAAAATTCATTTGAAACCAGAAGGGGACTTTTTAGTTGTATATGACACATTTGTCAAATTATCACTGTTCTTCCTAGGACAACATCAAGCACGAGTACAATATGAAGATTCTTGGCCCTTTTTTCTATGGATTATGTTATATGTGATAATTATCACATCTACTTGGCTTTAATCTTATTTTTGGTCCAGTTTTAAGGTTCATGAGTTAGTGTGTTGTGTTTTGTTTGATTCATGTATCCTCAGTATTTTTATTAACATATAGCATCAGATTAAACATGCTTGTCACTCAAATATGGAAGATGCTATAGTTAGAAGTGAGTTTGTTCCTCTTATTCTAGCAGTGAAAACGTTCTGGGGACTGGGGTATTATTTGTATGCTGCTGAATATCATGTCTGTAATAGACCCGTGCATGCAGCCTTTGCTCTGCTTCCCTTTCATCTCTTTGCAGGTGGCTTATTTACATTGGAAGCATTGAGCTCATTTTTGATCTAGAAGTTGCATTGCTCTCAGGATGACCTTACTGATGTATAGCTCATTCTGTGTGGTGTTCTGTGATGTAGGGTCTGTGTAGTGTTACTCACCCCCACCCCTGTGACCTGTTAATGGTTTCCTTTGTTTTGAGCGTTTGGGGTGGGGGTCAGAATTGTTTCCCATTCCATAATGCCTGATGTTATTTCAAGTTTTATATTATTTTAAGGTGTATATATGTGTTTTCATTTTATATATATATATATATATGTAGATATATATATATTTTACAGTACTGGAATCAAACCCAGGGCCTAGCACATACTAAGCAAGTGCTCTGCCACTGAAGTAATCCCTAATCTTTGTTTGTTTGTTTGTTTGTTTGTTTTTTAATTGGTTTAATTCTTAAATTCTATCAGTAAAAAAAATATTTGGCTTTTTCCATGAGAAACAGTGAAGCTGCTCTCAAAATAGATGTGCTGTCTTTTGGGGGGGGTTGAAGGTTGTTTTTCTCTGTATAGTCCTGGCTTCCTGGAACCCTGTTTACCAGGCTGGCCTCAAACTCAGAGATTAGCCTGCCTCTGCCCCCCACCCCCTCCACACACCCCATGCTAGGATCAAAGGCACATGTGCCACCATACCCCACTTTGGATGTGCTGGCTTTATTCCACCATTTTAGTAAAGATGAACTAGTTTTGTTTTTTTAGTTTTTGAGACTGTAGTTCTGGGTAGCCTGGAACTTGCTATGTTGACTGGACTGACCTTGAACTCACAGAGATCTGCCTGCCCCTGCCTCCTGAGAACTGAGATTAAAGGCATACACCACAATGCAGGTGGCTCACTTAACTTTTAAGGTTCCTTATACAATGTGTGTTCATCGAGATTTCAAGAGAGCTGTTTACAGTCACAATGGTTTGCTCTTGAGCTACACAAACTGCCACTTATTTGAGAGAACAGTAGATTGTTGGTTGTCCAATATGCCTATGGACTCTGTACAAACTGGATCTACAAACATTTTAAACTGGATCAGGTTGGGGGTTGAAGTAACCCATTAAATGTGCTTAATGGTTACATTCAGGAGCAGTGACCTAGGCTTTATGCTCTGCTTTCAAAGCAGCTATCAGTACTGTTAGAGGAGTTACTGGTTTGTGCTGAGACCTGCACTTGACTGAGAAGGATAGAAGTTGGGATGGCGTTTTTTTTTCCTGGTGAGTCTCTTTGTAGGAATTTATTTTAATGCATAGTCTTGTGAATGTATCATGTCTTCATTAGCAACAGGGAAATACACATGTTGTTTACTAAAATTGTTTACTACATTCAAATTCCCCCCCCCTTTTTTTTTTTTTTTTTTTTTTTTTTAGTAACCCAAGTTCTTGAGTTTTTCAAGATGTTGTTTTCTGAACTGAGGTATAATTTTAGGAAGGAGATCTAATTAAGCCAGAATTTTGTTTGTGAAAAGAACATTTCCTATCCAGGTGTTTCTGTGTTCCTCGGAGAGTGGGAGTATGGTCCAAATGAATCCATTAGGTCACTCCTGCAGCATGCGCTTACAGCTTCTCTTGACCAAGGATGAACTAGTCCTATGAGCTGGCCTTCAGCTCCTGCATATGTGTATAAACTTCAGATGTTACTACATTTTATATCTACCAGAGCTATTCAAGCAATAGTATTTGAACCATTAGCCTTTTAAATAAAACTCTGCCCTATTGCTAACATGCAGATACTGAGTCCACTGTCATTTCTTGCCAGGTTTATTTGTGCTGTTTTAGAGGGGAAAAGTGTTTACCGGTTTTTCTTTGGTTGACATCTCAGATTGCTTCAGTGACAGAACCAGTTAGTCTTTGTGATCTTTAAGATGTGAACTAAAACCAGTGTCCACATGAAATGCCCTAGTTTGTCGTTGTGATTAAGGGGCCAGGCAACTAGCACAGATAATGCTTTGTTCCTTTTTTGGTAGTTGGGGTGGTGGTTTTCTTAGGCAGAGTCTAGTAGCCTGGCTGCTCCTGTCTTCCCCAGCACTGGAATTACAGGCCTACTCCTCCATCCCTGGCTTGTTCTGTTCCTTTCCCAACATTTTTCTTTCTTCCCTTTCAGACAGGGTCTCAATATAGTACAGCCTGGCTTTTAACTTACCATGTAGCTATGGATGCCCTTGAACTCAGTCCTTCTACTTCTACCTTCCAGGTGTTAGGAGTCATGGCTCTAATGTGGCAGGTTGGAGATAGCCTGCCAAAGGATGATCTGTTGCAAGTGACTTGACTGCCCATTGGTATTGTAGATTACCTTGACAGTGCTCTGGCAACTGTCAGGTCTGGTAGGGCTGTTGAGGACCTTTATCTAATCCTGATTCTTCTGTCAAAATTCTTCACCCAGAAAAGTAAGTTTTGAGTAGCTCATGCCCTACCCATAAGAATTGTAACTATCATTGTTTAAAAAAAAAAAAAAAAAAAAAAGTCCCAAATTTCTGTTTATATTTTCCACCTAACCACTTATACTTGTGTTTCCAAAACCCCTTGCTAAAGCCGAGACCTGTCTGTGCTGAGATGTACAAACATTGCCAGGGTTATATTTATTTCAGTGGTGACGAAACTAGACACTTACAGAAGGGAGCGTGATCAGCTCCTGACTCTCTAGTGATGTATGTGGGAGCAGTGAGTGGGGATTTGCCTGTGGTCTTCCTCTCCAGGACCACTACAGCAGGCTGCCTGAACTTCCCCAGGGGAGCTTGTGACTATGTTTTGGTAAAGACTTCTTGACTAGAATCCATTCTGTTCAGTGCTTATTTAATATAAAAGTCAACATTTCACTGCGAACTTACTGATGTCTTTCTGTCTCTTTTATCGTAGTTTAGATTCCAATGAAAAAACGAAGGGGTGGGTTTTCCTGCCTTATAAACAAAGTGGATTCTTTGCTCATCTTATTCCCTGGAACTGAATGTACCAAACTGACTCCACCTCTCACAGGGTAGGATGGTAGGATGGGTGAGTAGTTATAAGTAACCCTGAGTAGATAGATATGAGAGGATGTTGTAGACTGGTCACAATCTCCTTATATAGTTCTGCCTGGAACTCAGAAATCTGCCTGCCACGCCTCAAACATGCTGAGATTAAAGGTGTCTCCTACCATGCCTGGCTTTAAAAAAGCTAGTCTGAAAAACTGTTGTAGCCTTATCTATAAGATGGATGTCATGCCAGGCGTTGGTGGCGCACGCCTTAAATCCCAGCACTCGGGAGGCAGAAGCAGGTGGATCTCTGTGAGTTCGAGGCCAGCCTGGGCTCCAGAGCGAGTGCCAGGAGACAGTCATGTTTTCTGAAGGTCTGAATAAGAGTTTGTCTGAGGTTTTCATCTGCAATTATGATCTTCATGGCATTGGAGCGCAGAGAAGTTTTCTGAAGGTCTGAATAAGAGTTTGAGGTTTTCATCTGCAATTATGATCTTCATGGCATTGGAGCGCAGAGAAACAAAACCAAAACAAACAAAAAAGAAGCTTAGAAATTGAGTATTAACACCGGGTGCCTTTAGTCCCAGCACTCGGGAGGCAAAGGCAGGTGGATCTCTGTGAGTTTGAGACCAGCCTGGTCTACAAGAGCTAGTTCCAGGACAGTCTCCAAAGCCACAGAGAAACCTTGTTTCGGAAAAACCGGGGTGGGGGGGGGGAGAGGAGAAAAATTGAGTGTTACATCCTATCTAAGGTAATCCGAAAAACCGGGGTGGGGGGGGAGAGGAGAAAAATTGAGTGTTACATCCTATCTAAGGTAATCCTAACTTAAGTAGATGAACCCAGTTTCAAGGCAGTTTTCCATGACCTTCTTCCCTTGTGCTACTCTAGGTTCTGAGGAAATAAGGTCATCTTGGATCTAGTTGCCCTCAGGTGAATGTCCTAGGATTGCTCCCCTGGGCGAGGCAGCAGCTGCTTTAGTGTTTGTGCTGTTAGTATCTGCCTTTCAGTTCTAGCTTTTGTGTGATCACAACAGTCAACAGATTTACTTACAGTGCATTGTCTGGCCATCTGACTCCCCATCCTCAACCAGCACTGAAATGAAATCATTGTGAAACAAGAATTTGTACTTAATGTACCTATGGGGTTGCAAAGTCTACAGAGCTCTGTGTTAGCATATCAGTAAAGTCAGATTTAGAGGAAGATACTACTTAGATAAATGAATTTAAAATGTAAAATAACAATTCCCTGCATAGCTAATCCTTCCAATATCTAGAAAGATAATTTGTTTATGTGTTTGTCTTATAGCTCAGGTTGGCTTCGAACTCATTGAGTAGCTGAGAAAGATCTTGAACTCATCATCTTGCTTCTATTTTCCAAGTGCTGAGGTTACAGTGTTCACCACGACATCTAGCCAAAAAGATAGCTCCAGTGCCATGAAGGAGACCATAATTGTAGATGAAAACCTCAGACAGACTCTTATTCAGACCTTCAGAAAACATGACTGTCTCCTTTGACATCCATCTTATACATAAGGCTATATGAATAGTGCTTAGTATGACTATGTGCTGTAGACTGCCTTATCAGAACTGAGTGAGTGTTCTTAGTCCCATTATAATACATCATGATGCCAGTAAAGGACATGAACCTTGAACATAGCCTTATTTACCACCCCCATGGCTCCCAAGCTGAAATTGTGTTCCAAGCATTCTATGGAGCTATGACACTAGACCACAGTACTTATCCTAATGACAAAGCACACCAGTAGTAGTGGCCGCTGGACTATATGACTAAAAATTTCTATGGCATACTCACCACAGTGACTCTACTACAGTGATGCTGCTTCATTGAAAAGCATGCTGCAGATGATAAAAGGCAGAAATATTAAATCAAGGTGGCTTTCTTCCTGATACGGTTAGTACAACTAAGTTCCTCTCCACCCAAGCTCAGAGTGCTTGTCTTTTTCAATTGCCTAAAGTACCGTCTTAGATCATTTTTAGGTAAGGTCTCCCGATGCTGTGCAGGCTGGCCTTGAACTTGCTATCCTCTACCTCAGTCTGCCCAGTAGGTGGGATTACAGACCTTGGCCACTGAACTCAGCTTAATCACATTTTTACATGGCCATTCTGAATCAAGGATCTTCAGTGTTTGGCTCAACAGTGTTTCTCTCTTTGATGTCAGTGTGATCTCATATAGGTCTCTTTCCTTATTTTCTGGATCATTTAAACTTAATTTTTTTTTTCCTTTTGTGTTTTTTCGAGATAGGGTTTCTCTGTCCTGGAACTCACTCTGTAGACCTGGCTAGCAGAGATCCACCTGCCTCTGCCTCCCAAGTGCTGGGATCAAAGGTGTGCGTCACCAACTCCCAGCAACTTAATTCATTTCTAAACACAATTTTTTTTGTTTGTTGTTTTTAGACAGGTTCTTGCTATCTAGCCCTAACTGGGTTCAAACTGACCACCTTGCCTCAGCTTCCTAGGTTCTAAGATTACAGCCATGCACCACTGTGCCTGGCTTACAAGAACAAATTTTATGCATTGAACAAGCTTTGTCAGCACACTAGTGAAGAATTCGAGTACAACAGCATGCTTTTGACAGCTACTGGCTTACAAGGTCGAGTTCAAGACTCTTCCGTTCTTGTTTAATCCTTCCCTTTGAGCCTTCATGCCAATACCATATAACTTAGGTGCATGGCTGCTTCACAGAGAAACTGCTGTCTGGAATATGTTGCTGTCCTCCTTGCTGGCTAATGCCTCATCTTTCACCCAGTAGGGACACCTGGAGTGTTTGCTGATTTCTCCTGTTTCTAGCTCCAGTATATGCTAGGGCTCAAGTCTATATTCACATGATGTCCTCTATAAAACTGAAAAACGGGCGGTTGCTTTCTTGTTGTTGTTGTTTGTTTTTTAAACTACATACATTTTCGAGTGTGCGCATGCCACAGTGACCCCTGGAGGTTGGAGGCCACCTGTGGAAGTTGGTTCTCTTCCCTACCATGTGGGTTCTGGTTTAGGAGACTTGGGTCTTAAGGCTAGGCAAATCGCCTTTATCTGCTGAGCCATCTCCCAGGCCTACATAAATACTTTATGTAGGTACTTTAAGCCTCTCTCAGCTTAGTGACAAGTACAGGCCAGACACTGAATAGATAGAACAAATGAATGGGAATTCTTTCGTTGTCTTCTGGCTCGTAACTCAGAATTCAGACAGGAACACAAATATTTTTACTTCTGTGCCCATTTCTTTGTATGATACCATACAGCTTCTGTGAAACAATAGAGATTATTTTTGCTAGTGATAAATGAGGGAGAAATAGAAATAAAATTTACTTGGGTAAGGGCATTTGCTGCCAAGCCTGACCTGAGTTCCATTCTCAGGACCCACATAGGAAGGAGAGGACTGACTCCTGCAGGTTGTCCTTTGGCACACCATGTCACACATAAGCTCCCCCTCTTCAACACACTGATAAGCATGATTTTTAAAAGCAGACCTGGCTATGGTAGCTCATGCCTATCATTTTAGCACTCAGAAATCAGCATGCACGCTTGGTGGCACACACCTTTAATCCCAACACTTGAGAGGCATAGGTAAGTGCATCTCTGAGTTTGAAGCCAGTGTGATCCATATAGTGAGCTCTGGGATGGCCAGAACTACATAAAGAGACCCTTCCTCAAAAAACAAACAAAATCTGTGACAGAAGGATTACCATGGTCTTGAGGCCAGTCTGAACTATTTATAGTGAGTTCTGTGCCAGCCAGGGCTGCAGAATAGATCCTGCCTCAGTAAAAGAAAAAGGGGGAGGGTTTCTCATGGTGTTCCAAGCCTGTAATCCCCAGCACTCAGGAAGTAAAGGGAGGAGAATCAAGAGGCAGGAGTTCAAGACCAATTTAGGTTACTTGAGACCCTATTTAAAACAAGCACACCACAAACCACCCAAAACAAAAGCAGAGAAATTCAACACATGCATAATAACAACATTTCTAAAACTTAAATTGTGTGATTAGCATTGAGTGATGAAGCTAGATGTGGTGGTGCATAGCTTTAATCTCTGCACTTGGAAGTTAAGAGGCAGGCAGAACTCTGCATTTGAGGCCAACCTGGTCTACGTAAGGAGTGCCTCTATGGAATCCAGGCCAGCCAAAGCTTCCTAGTGAGACCCTGTCTTAAAAAAAAAAAAAAAAAAAGTGATGTAGAAGAGGCTCGACTGGTTTGGGAGTATTAGGAATGAGGAAGTCATCTGTAAGGCTGCAGACCAGTTCAGTAAAAGATGTGAGAGTCGAGCTGTGTAAAGTGAGGGGCCCTTGGGTCACTGAGATCAGTGGACTAGAGCCGAAGGTTCCCTGTGATCTGTAGATGTGTAAGAGATAGGCAGCGCTCCTTAACAGCCTATCTGACTTATTAGCCCCAGGCTCAGGCTTTTCTGTAGGTGGAAGAGAGCTGCTCGTCTCTTTGTCAGTGATCCTCGGAGGCACAGATTTGAACTGATCTATTATTTATTTATGTGATTGTATCCTGCAACCTGATGCCCAGGCAGCCTTTCCTGGAAAGCTCTTATGGCTCTGTCGTATGGCCAGAGGGAACCAGATACAGGGCCTGGGTGACTCACTATGAATGGTGAGAGCTGTAGGAAATGGAAAGTGACAGCTCTTTCTCTGGCAGAAAGCCCTGTCCATTTGCTCAAAGCTATTCGCCCTCATTTCCCTTGCCAATTTTAAAAATTCCTTCCCTCACCCACATACCCATCCAGTACTGGAGATTGAATCTAGGCTCCTCAAACATATCAGACAAGTGCTCTGCCACCAAGCTACATCCGTCTTGGGCCCTTTTCATGTTTTGACACAGGTCTTATTAAATTATTTAAGCAGGCCTTGAACCAGT